ACGGGAGACAAGCATTGGTTACTGAAGTTTCATTCTAACCCGGACCTTCACGGGGAGACAAGCATTGGTTACTGAAGGTTCATTCTAACCGGACCTTCACGGGAGACAAGCATTGGTTACTGAAGGTTCATTCTAACCCGGACCTTCACGGGGAGACAAGCATTGGTTACTGAAGGTTTCATTCTAACCCGACCTTCGGGGACGGGAGACAAGCATTGGTTACTGAAGTTTCATTCTAACCCGGACCTTCACGGGGAGACAAGCATTGGTTACTGAAGTTTCATTCTAACCCGGACCTTCACGGGGAGACAAGCATTGGTTACTGAAGGTTCATTCTAACCCGGACCTTCACGGGAGACAAGCATTGGTTACTGAAGGTTCATTCTAACCCGACCTTCACGGGGAGACAAGCATTGGTTACTGAAGGTTCATTCTAACCCGGACCTTCAACGGGAGACAAGCATTGGTTACTGAAGGTTCATTCTAACCCGGACCTTCTCGGGAGACAAGCATTGGTTACTGAAGGTTCATTCTAACCCGGACCTTCACGGGAGACAAGCATTGGTTACTGAAGGTTCATTCTAACCCGGACCTTCACGGGAGACAAGCATTGGTTACTGAAGTTTCATTCTAACCCGGACCTTCACGGGGAGACAAGCATTGGTTACTGAAGGTTCATTCTAACCGGACCTTCACGGGAGACAAGCATTGGTTACTGAAGGTTCATTCTAACCCGGACCTTCACGGGGAGACAAGCATTGGTTACTGAAGGTTCATTCTAACCCGACCTTCACGGGAGACAAGCATTGGTTACTGAAGTTTCATTCTAACCCGGACCTTCACGGGGAGACAAGCATTGGTTACTGAAGGTTCATTCTAACCCGGACCTTCACGGGGAGACAAGCATTGGTTACTGAAGGTTCATTCTAACCCGGACCTTCACGGGAGACAAGCATTGGTTACTGAAGGTTCATTCTAACCCGGACCTTCACGGGAGACAAGCATTGGTTACTGAAGTTTCATTCTAACCCGGACCTTCACGGGAGACAAGCATTGGTTACTGAAGTTTCATTCTAACCCGGACCTTCACGGGGAGACAAGCATTGGTTACTGAAGTTTCATTCTAACCCGGACCTTCACGGGAGACAAGCATTGGTTACTGAAGGTTCATTCTAACCCGGACCTTCACGGGGAGACAAGCATTGGTTACTGAAGGTTCATTCTAACCCGGACCTTCACGGGGAGACAAGCATTGGTTACTGAAGGTTCATTCTAACCGGACCTTCACGGGGAGACAAGCATTGGTTACTGAAGGTTCATTCTAACCCGGACCTTCACGGGGAGACAAGCATTGGTTACTGAAGGTTCATTCTAACCCGGACCTTCACGGGGAGACAAGCATTGGTTACTGAAGGTTCATTCTAACCCGGACCTTCACGAGGAGACAAGCATTGGTTACTGAAGTTTCATTCTAACCCGGACCTTCACGGGGAGACAAGCATTGGTTACTGAAGTTTCATTCTAACCCGGACCTTCACGCGGGTAGACAAGCATTGGTTACTGAAGGTTCATTCTAACCCGGACCTTCACGGGGAGACAAGCATTGGTTACTGAAGGTTCATTCTAACCCGGACCTTCACGGGAGACAAGCATTGGTTACTGAAGTTTCATTCTAACCCGGACCTTCACGGGGAGACAAGCATTGGTTACTGAAGTTTCATTCTAACCCGGACCTTCACGGGGAGACAAGCATTGGTTACTGAAGGTTCATTCTAACCCGGACCTTCACGGGAGACAAGCATTGGTTACTGAAGTTTCATTCTAACCCGGACCTTCACGGGAGACAAGCATTGGTTACTGAAGGTTCATTCTAACCCGACCTTCACGGGAGACAAGCATTGGTTACTGAAGGTTCATTCTAACCCGGACCTTCACGGGGAGACAAGCATTGGTTACTGAAGTTTCATTCTAACCCGGACCTTCACGGGAGAGACAAGCATTGGTTACTGAAGGTTCATTCTAACCGGACCTTCACGGGGAGACAAGCATTGGTTACTGAAGTTTCATTCTAACCCGGACCTTCACGGGGAGACAAGCATTGGTTACTGAAGGTTCATTCTAACCCGGACCTTCTCGGGAGACAAGCATTGGTTACTGAAGGTTCATTCTAACCCGGACCTTCACGGGGAGACAAGCATTGGTTACTGAAGTTTCATTCTAACCCGGACCTTCGCGGGAGACAAGCATGGGTTACTGAAGTTTCATTCTAACCCGGACCTTCTCGGGAGACAAGCATTGGTTACTGAAGTTTCATTCTAACCCGGACCTTCTCGGGAGACAAGCATTGGTTACTGAAGTTTCATTCTAACCCGGACCTTCGGGGGAGACAAGCATTGGTTACTGAAGGTTCATTCTAACCCGGACCTTCACGGGGAGACAAGCATTGGTTACTGAAGTTTCATTCTAACCCGGACCTTCTAACGGGAGACAAGCATTGGTTACTGAAGTTTCATTCTAACCCGGACCTTCATTCTAACGGGAGACAAGCATTGGTTACTGAAGGTTCATTCTAACCCGGACCTTCTCGAGGAGACAAGCATTGGTTACTGAAGGTTCATTCTAACCCGGACCTTCACGAGGAGACAAGCATTGGTTACTGAAGGTTCATTCTAACCCGGACCTTCACGAGGAGACAAACATTGGTTACTGAAGGTTCATTCTAACCCGGACCTTCTCGAGGAGACAAGCATTGGTTACTGAAGGTTCATTCTAACCCGGACCTTCTCGAGGAGACAAGCATTGGTTACTGAAGGTTCATTCTAACCCGGACCTTCACGAGGAGACAAGCATTAGTTACTGAGGGTTCATTCTAACCCGGACCTTCACGGGTCGGTAGGTGAAGGAAATAGGCTGAACAACAATGAAGTGAAATAATGAAGATGAAATAGTGTACTTCATTTTGAAGTGTATTATTTTTTCTAATATTTGTCATGAAAATATGGAAATATGGTCTTTTCTTTAATTGAATGAAAAAGCACACGCAATTCTGTCTTTTTGACACAATTTTCATTACGTCACACGACATATATATAATGACCAGAAATTATTGAGAATTTTAGGAATATGTCTAATTGGATTACTAGTATAAACAACCTTGACCAGCTATCAAGTGCTTGGTTTCATATTCAAGAGAGACAACTCCGTTAATCCTTTTTCATTAGTTTGTGAAGTTATCCCCCTTTGTTTACTTGCTAGCAGACGACATTTTCAGTGCTCCTCAGTATGGATGATTTAGAGAAGAGGAAGTTGATTTTAGAGTATTAAAACAAGGACATCAGATCAGCTAAAGTGATTTCAAGTAGAACAGGCATCCCTTTGTCCACTGTTTATCGTGTTTTGAAAAATATTGCAAATGGATATGGCGTTGAGCACCAGGGAGGTGCAGGTAGGCCCAGAAAATTGACTGTCGGTGACAGGAGGCGGCTTGGTATTCTTGTTTCTAAAAACAAACGAAGGTTGAACGGGTGCTTACAGCATAGAAATTTTAACCGGGACAATATGACTTTCTCAGAGGAAAGTTCTGTGTGGCTGTTTCCTAATACACTGAAATTCTGGACCAAACAAACTGAAAAACCTTTGTATCAGCGCCCAAAGTACAGTCCGAAAGTTAATGTGTGGGGTGGCATTTCTTTGTTAGGAGCAACGCCCCTCTGTGTATTTGAAGGGAATACGAACAGTGAGAGGTACACAGATATTCTCGAGGGACATTTACTTCCATCTGCTCACGTGTTCAATGGAAATTTTTTGGATTTTCCAGCAGGACAACGACCGAAAACATCGTTCAAGCATTCACAGGCCTGGTTTCGGAACAAAAATATGTCATTTTTAGATTGGCCAAGCTATAGGCCTGACCTAAATCCAATAGAATATGTTTGGGGACTTATGAAGGAAAGTGTCAATAAGAAAAATCTGACAAATATTGCTGAAATGAAAGAAGAGGTGGTCCGATATTGGGACAGCATGGACCACGATTTTCTAACTTCTTTGATCAGTAGTATGCCCCGCCGCATTGAAGCCTGCATTGCTGCCCATGGTGACTTGACAAAATACTAACTGTTCACCCGTCTTTTAATCTGGAGTTATGTTCTGCTAATATTCACATTAATACTAGAGTAATGAGTGAAAAAAAGAAAAAGAAATTACAATCTTCAAAATTCTCAATAATTTCTGGTTGTACTGTAAATGCTGGATATTTTGTCACTTGGACGTATTTATTTCTATCTTACCACTTAAATCAATGACACTTGCTATGAATAAAATATCTGTCTTGCTACAAAGTTTATCGCAATCACGAGAGGACGGACCTCCGGTACACCCAATATATATAATGTTGATATAACAAACAAGCCCATTTATATTGAAAAGGAGCCCTAGGGAGACCAGAGAACCTGAGGAAATCTAGACTTGCTTTATTTAGGGCTTTAGCACTGCAGAGAGGGCTTAGCAGTAGGGAAATAATGTGGTTCAGGGACTGTGAGACAGACTACCCAAGCCCATGCATCGCGTGACCCAGATACGTCCCAATATCATTTTCAGACTGCAGTGGATGCCGCGTCTGAGGCGGTTTCTAGGACGCGATGACATTGCTGGTGTCTTCCCATGGTCTCTGCATCAATTCAGCTCTCCAGATGTTAACTATGCAACTGACGAGCAAAAGGACACTGCGACATATGAACTATCAGATCCGGAGAGCTAAAATCCCAATTATACACAATTCCACCCTCAACCACAATAGACAAGCGAAATGCCGTTATGACCTTGATTTGTGTAACAAGGTCACGTAGCTTAGCTAGCTTGATTAGGTTACCCTGGCGTTGAAGCTTGGCAGGTGTACGTAAATACCACCTCACAAACCACGGAGGAGACTCCGTGCCCATCACATACACCGTGCCCATCACATACATCGTGCCCATCACATACACACCCACGCCATACCCTACCTGTGCTCTGTGCCAGTATAGCTGTGGAGTCCGAATGAGACTCGGTACTGCGCAGGCGTGCCCGTCACCTGCCTGTGTCACGCTGACAGCGCCCTTTATACCCCAAGTGCATGATAGGAATATGACCTTGGGTATTGTTTACACCTTGCCGAGAAGATGACCCCGATACTGAATGTGAACTGGGTTTGATGTTGAGACACTGGATATGATGTCATACCGTGGATCTTGCTATGCAGCTACACACCACATCCAATATCACATGACATCACACCCAAAACCAATGCATGACTTCATACCCAGTATCCCTAACTGACATCACACCAAGCACAACAGCATGACATCGACATCACACCAACCACAACAGCATATCGACATCACACCAAGCCCAACTGCATGACAGAACACCAAACACAAGTGCATGTCATTATACCAAACACAAGTGCATGACATTATACCAAGCACAAGTGCATGACATCGACATCAAGCACAAGTGCATGACATCACACCAAGCACAAGTGCATGACATCGACACCACACCAAGCATAAGTACATGACATAGACACCAAGCTCAAGTGCATGACATCGACACCAAGCACAACTGCATGGCATCGGCACAAAGTATAACTGCATGACATAACAAGCATAACCGAATGACATTGACACTACACCAAGCACAACCACATGACATCGACACCAAGCACAACCACATGGCATCGACACCACACCAAGCACAATCACATGACATCAACACCAAGCACAGCCACATGACATCGACACCAAGCACAACCACATGACATTGACACATCAAGCACAATCGCATGACATTGACACCACACCAAGCACAATCGCATGACATCAACAAGCACAACCACATGACATCGGCACCAAGCACAACCACATGACATCACACCAAGCACAATCGCATGACATGACATCAACACACCAAGCACAATCGCATGACATCAACACCACACTCATGGCGAAGATCAACCATAGAGGAGATGACTAAAGCTGGTTACTCCTGGAGCACCGTTGTACAACACGCCCAGAACCGAGTCAGATGACGGTCGATAATCTGTGGCCTATGCTCTACCATGAGCGAGAAGGCATAAGTCAAGTAAGTCAACACCACCACACCAAGCACAACTGCATGACATCAACACCACACCATGCACAACAGTTTCGCTCCACACCCACTACCAACCAGTGGTCTACTTGAGCTATCACACACAGGTTTACCCGTGCTATCAACCAGTGGTCTACTTGCGCCATCACACACAGGTCTACCCATGCTATCAACCAGTGGTCTATTCAAGCTATCAACCAGTGGTCTACTTCGCGCTATCACGCACACGTCTACCCATGCTATCAACCAGGGCCTAGATTTTTGCAGCTCTATAAGCGCTAAGATAGTTGTAAGTGCCATACATTAACATTAACTTACGACTATCTTAGTGCTAAGAGAGCTTCGAAAATCTAGGCCCAGTGGTCTACTTGCGCTATCACACACAGGTCTACTTATGCTATCAACCAGTGGTCTACTCAAGCTATCAACCACTGGTCTATTTGTGCCATCACACACAGGTCTACCCATGCTATCAACCAGTGGTATACTCAAGCTATCAACCAGGGGTCTACTTGTGCCATCACACACAGGTCTACTCAAGCTATCAACCAGGGGTCTACTTCCGCCATCACACACAGGTCTACTTGCGCCATCACAACAGGTCTACCCATGCTATCAATCAGTGCTCTACTTGCGCTATCAACTTGTGGTCTACTTACGCCATCACACACAGGTCTACTTATGCTTTCAGCCAGTGGTCTACTCATGCCATCATCCACAGGTCAACACTGGCTATAATCAACAGGTCTATTTATGCCATCAACCAATGGTGTACTCAGGCTGTGAATACATGTTCAACATCTCACTGGGAAACATCCGAGCCACATGGGTTCGAATCACTGTTCGGACAATAATTACTAAAAACAAAACTCTAGACTTCCCACACAATAATAGCACACATGGAAACAGACCAAAGAGCTGCGTTTTGTGTTTCGAATCATTCGCAGATTAACAAGAAAAAATTGTGTCCAGGGACACGGATGCCCCTAAAATCTGCTGACATTCATAAGACATATAAAGATCAATAATTGAACAAAATTCACGAACAAGTTCAATAAACATCTATGCAACTATGACATGCACACCTTTCGAGTCTCAATGAAACACATGTATAAGCTTAATCAATTCTGTTGAGCAGTTTTTGTGGAGAAGTTGATAGACTTCATCCCCTATAACACTATATTCAGAGAGAAATTCAACAAAATTTATGCAAGTTTAAACGGCATTAAAATTGGAAAAATAAATAAAATACAAAATCAAAATATGAGATGCACACCTTTAGAGTCCCTATAAAGCACATGTGTAATCTAAATGAATTCCATAAAGTAGTTTTTGAGGAGAAGTGGATAACGTACACCCCCTGTTGTATGGGACAAACTGGATGAATAGAACCAAATTCAACTAAGTTCAAACATCTGTAGAAGTGACAAAATTAAGAAATTGGATGAACAAGGTATGAGATGCACACCTTAAGAGTTCCAATGAAACACACGTAGAAGCTCAATCAATTCTGTTGAGCAGCTTTTGTGGAGAAGTGGATAGACTTCACCCCCTACAACACTATATTCAGAGAGAAATTCAACAAAATTGATCTAAGTTCAAACGGCATTAAAATTGGAAAAATAAATAAAATACAAAATCAAAATATGAGATGCACGCCTTTAGTGTCCCTATAAAGCACATGTGTAATCTAAAAGAATTCCATAAAGTAGTTTTTGAGGAGAAGTGGATAACGTACACCCCCTGTTGGATGGAACGAACACTGGCTGAATAGAACAAAATTCAACTAAGTTCAAACATCTGTAAAAGTGACAAAAGTAAGAAATTGCATAAAAATTATGAAATGCACACCTTTAGAGTCCCTACAAAAGACATGTAGAAGTTCATTCAATTCTGTTGAGCAGTTTTTGTGGAGAAGTGGATAGACTTCATCCCGTATTACACTATCATCATAGAGAAATTCAGCAAAATGTACCTAAGTTCAAATGTCTCTAAACTTACAAAAAAACCAATAAAATAAAAAAACAAAATATGAGATGCACACCATTAGAGTCCCAAGAAAGCCCATGTATAAGTTCATTGAATTCCACAGAGCGGTTATGGTGGAGAAGTGGATAGAATACATTCCCTGTTTCGTACGGACGGACGGACGGACACCGAGGGTAACCCTATATGCCCCTGCCATATTTATGGCGGGGCATAAAAGACAAGTCAATGATCATCAATCATACATGCCCTGTGTATGAGGTGATATCTATGGTGGCACACAGCCCGATGGTATCCAGACAAGTCAATGATCATCAATCATACATGCCCTGTGTATGAGGTGATATCTATGGTGGCACACAGCCTGGATGGTATCCAGACAAGTCAATGATCATCAATCATACATGCCCTGTGTATGAGGTGATATCTATGGTGGCACTGACCCATTCAGTTGTCTCACTATAGTTACTAAGACCCTGCTGTAACCTCAAGTCACCCTTACAAGGTTGCTTGGTACCAATCTAATCCAGAATCACACCGTGTCTACTGAGCTTGGAACATTTTTCAACCAAGGATCCCCCATGGGTACATCTTTTGTCCAAATTGCATCTACTCTCCCCACACAGAGCAGGGCACATCATATCTATAGCCCAGGGCCCCGTTACAAAAAGACGATTGTAGCGCTATAGTCTGTTTGCAGTGAAAACGTACCGATGAATTTCACTCTAAACAAAAAAGTAAATCGAATAAAGTGAAATTAAGACTGCGAATCCTCATAATTTTACCTTGCCAATTGAACATTCAAATCTCATAATTTTATTCAACTTAGGAAAAAGTTTAACAATCGATCATAGTTTCAAATCGCTACCATTGGTTTGTATTACAAGGGGATATGCACATTCGATGAAACACCGAGAACAAGTAGGGTTGGTCTAAGTTAACGCTCATCACATACAGCATGTGCATTTGTTTCACTGTTTCATCTACTGCAGTTACCCCCTTGTAATACAAAGGTATCTGAGATTTAAATATTCATTTGGCAAGGTAAAATTATGAGGATTCGCAATCTTAATTTGATTTACTTTAAAGTGAAATTCATCGGTACGTTTTCATTGCAGACAGACTATAAGTGATTGTAACTCCCATACTTTATCATAGACTTACGACTGTTAAAAGCACTACAATCTCTTTGAGGAACAGGGCCCTGTTCCACAATCTTAATAGTATGACAAGGTCTGTATGCAAGTATTGGCACTATGGTCATCTTTGAGGATCAGGGCCCTGTTCCACAATCTTAATAGTATGACAAGGTCTGTATGCAAGTATTCGCACTATGGTCATCTTTGAGAGGATCAGGGCCCTGTTCCACAATCTTAATACTATGACAAGGTCTGTATGCAAGTATTGGCACTATGGTCATCTTTGAGGAACAGGGCCCTGTTCCACAATCTTAATAGTATGACAAGGTCTGTATGCAAGTATTGGCACTATGGTCATCTTTGAGGATCAGGGCCCTGTTCCACAATCTTAATAGTATGACAAGGTCTGTATGCAAGTATTGGCACTATGGTCATCTTTGAGGAACAGGGCCCTGTTCCACAATCTTAATAGTATGACAAGGTCTGTATGCAAGTATTGGCACTATGGTCATCTTTGAGGAACAGGGCCCTGTTCCACAATCTTAATAGTATGACAAGGTCTGTATGCAAGTATTCGCACTATGGTCATCTTTGAGGAACAGGGCCCTGTTCCACAATCTTAATAGTATGACAAGGTCTGTATGCAAGTATTGGCACTATGGTCATCTTTGAGGAACAGGGCCCTGTTCCACAATCTTAATAGTATGACAAGGTCTGTATGCAAGTATTGGCACTATGGTCATCTTTGAGGATCAGGGCCCTGTTCCACAATCTTAATAGTATGACAAGGTCTGTATGCAAGTATTGGCACTATGGTCATCTTTGAGGAACAGGGCCCTGTTCCACAATCTTAATAGTATGACAAGGTCTGTATGCA